CCATGTCATCTACAAGCAGATAGTTTCATATCGTCCTTTCCAGTCTGGGCCTTTATTAGAACACTCGAGTAAGAACAGTGGGGATGGACACCCAGTCTTGTTCCTGATCTCGGGGAGAAAGCACCCCGTCTTTCACTGTGCCCCAGAGGGTTGGGAACACCTTCGTTCTGTTTCAGTCTCCACTGCTGACTCGGGGGCCTCGCCCATGTCACTTGCTGCGGTTCCTGAACCACAGGATGGGGAGGTCGATTTGAAGGGGCCTTGCTTCCCAGCGCAGCCCCTCACGTCTGTGATTCTGCCTTGGCGTTCTTGCTTCTTAGCTAGTTCCCTTGGACTTCGGTTAGATCATCACGCAGACCCCGTAAGGACACTTGCAGATATCGGCCAGATCTATCTCCGTACCCATGTTGCCTGCCTTTGACTTCCACAATTCTGAGGCACCTAACCTAGACAGAACCTGCAGAAATTGAAACAGGCACGCAGGAATGTTTAAAGGAATTCGTATTTCCTTTTCTTTGTAACTCCAAGCAGCCAGGGGAAAGATTTGTGTTGGAACGATGCTCATGTCCACAAAAGGTCAATGAACTTCCCGCTTTGCCTCTAACACTCAGCACCCTCTTTGTTTCCAGACTCTCAGCGTTCTCATCTCTCCTCCTTCACCATGAAGCTGATGGACAAATTCCACTCGCCCAAAATCAAGAGAACACCATCAAAGAAGGGAAAACCAGCTGAGGTGTCCGTGAAAATTCTGGAGAAGCCTGTGAACAAAGTAAGCCGACTCTCTCTAGGTGTTTGCTCCTGGCCTTCTGCTTCGAGCAATATGACTTCGTGCCTTATTTTTTAAAGTTCATTCCCTGAGGATTGAGCTTTCAGTACAGAACACCTAGTCCATGGCATTCCGTGCTTCTGGGTGGGGCCTGAAGCGTGCTTGTCACATATGAACCTTTAGGGTGGTGAGCGTTGCTCCTGCTAATCAGAGTTGAGCTCAGCTGGGTGGCACGGCTCTCCTTTTCCAGAGGTATCCTCCTCTGGGCGTTTAAAACCGCTCAGCGCAGCGCGTTGCTGCCTCCCTGCCCCAGAGCCCCGCACCGTCCTGGCGCACGCGCACACGTGCGGGAGGTTCGCGATGCCCAGGACGCTCGTGCTCCGAGACACGCAGAGTCCTTGAAACCCAGCCAGCGATCTCCTCGAGCACTAGCAGCCTCAGCAGGGCCAGTCAGGCCAGATATGTTGAAACAGCTGTTGATGTTCATCAACCCCTCCCTCCAGCCTAAAACGGCCATTACAAGCTCTGTAGGAATCCAGGTTTCCTCTCTTCCAGGAGGCAACAGACAGATTTCTACCAGAGGGCTACCCTATCCCCTTGGATCTGGAGCAGCAGGCAGTAGAATTTATGTCCACCAGTGCTGTGGCTTCCAGGTCTCAAAGGCAGAAGGTCAGTGCGATGTTAAGAACATTGGGTTTGCCTTGCCTTCTACTGCAGAACCCTGGCCCATGGTTTTGGGGATGGAAAACAAAATCTGTGCAATATCGTTGTGTTCAGTTGGGTGGCGTCTGTGGGCTTCGCTGTTCAGGAAGCGTCCGAGGGACGGCCTTTGCAGAGAGCGCAGTCCTCACGGCGAGGGCGCGGGGATTTTTCTCTGGGGCTGGTTTGGGTGTGCGGCTCGGGTCCAGGGGCTTCCGGGGGAAGTGGGGGAGTCTCATCTCTCAAGACCAGCTGTTCTTTCCTTGAGTTGCTTGGACAGTCTGAATGGTTGAGAAGGAGAAGGGCGTCTAAAGTGTAAGGTGCTCCATTAAAGCTGTGGTGGGACAGCCACAGAACCAAGTGTCCTTAGAGCCAGGGCCACCTCATGCCGCCAGCATCTGTCAATCCTCTGCTCAGCCCCACGCTCGGTGCTTCACACTCACTCTCCTGCTCCCCCTCATAACCCTGTCACGTGGGAACCTGCTTTGCAGAAGAGGAAACTGAAGCTGTAGAGATGCTGAACATTTGGCCAAAGTCACACACAAAAAGGACGGCGTAGCGGAGAATCGAGCAAGGCCGTCTGCTACCCAAGTTGAAAACTCTCGCGTTGCTCTATTTCCTGTTTATGAAAGACAGGAAATATTGTCTTTGAATATCTCACAAATCTAATGTTAACCCCCACCCATCACTAAACACAAAAACAAAATTAAACTTAGCGATGTGAAATGAAAACAAGCCTTGTAGACAGATAGACCCTTCATCTTCCAGGGATTATCCAAAGCGTGGTTTGCAGTAGAGCGGTTGTCGCAGCCCTCGGTCACATGCCACCGGCAAACTCTACCCTGCTGTGCGCACACCCGGTTCTTGAATTTTGCAGTGCGCCTATTTTTTTCAGTGTTGACCGGCAAAATATCTTAAAACTCTATTAAAAGTAGAGAAAATAACGTTTTTATTTTTAGTTTTTTATTTTTTAGGCAAGGCAACCCTTGGTTGACCTCACACATTGCAAGGACCTTGTCAGCTTACAATCCTTTATTTTTTATTTTTTAAGCCTACAGCACCTGGTCTTCCTAGGTGGTCTCCCATCCGAGTACTAACCAGGCCCGACCCTGCTGAGCTTCCGAGATCAGACGGGATCGAGTTTGTTCAGGATGGCATGGCCGTAGACAAAATAAAGTTTTTAAATCTAAAAGTCTTTCGTTGAAGAATCATTTTTCCTGTTCCCTCTATTAACAAAAAGAGGCTGAAGAGCAAGAGTGAATGATCCAGATTGATCTCAGTTCCAGACTGAGGGAGAGTAATAAAGTAGATCTGGCCTGTACCACAGTTATTTTTTTTATTACAATCCTCGAAGCAACCTCTTGGAGCCGAGTTTAATACTGAAGTCCAGGACGAGTGTCAGTTATCATCACGCACGCGTCCGGGCGGTCCAGAGTCAGACCATTCATTCATTAACCTTTGAGCTCTGCTGGCGAACTCTGAGAAGAATCTCTTTCAGGGTCTCAGCTCTCAGAATTCCCCCTGCTTCCTTCATTATTCTGAAAGAGGTCATGGGGGAAATTTTGATGCTACAGTGTCATTTAATGGGGGTTCCTACGAACTCCAGGGGACATTTTTGATTGTCACAACTAGAAAGGTAAAGCCGGTACTGCTGGATCTGGTAGGTAGAGGGAAACATTCTACAACACACAAGACCCCACCCCAAACAAAGAGTTATCTGCCCCAAAACATCACTAGTGCCCAGCTGAGAAACCGTGCCCTGTAGCAAGGGGCTATCGGCGCGATCTTCACCCAAGCGAGAATGTGGCCTGGGTTTCGGTCGTCGCCCGTTCAGAAGGTCTGAATTGCCATTCCCTGCCCCATGTCACCTGCATGAGGCAAAGTGAGCACAAACGGGTAGAACTGGAAGGGTCGGGGGAGACCGCCAACGTGTGTGAACTTGGAAGACTGTTGGAGAAATCTTACAGTAAGACTCGTTTGCTATTAATTATTTGTTACTGGTTAGCTTTCTTACTACTTTGAGAATATGTCCATATCCATTCTCATTTTACCCCAGCTTACGTGCATGGCTTCCCACATTTAAATACATGGGAAAGTGCAGCTCAGGAAGATGCAAATCCAGATTCAGATCCACCTGCAGCTTACCTGTGCCAGGGCCCTGTCCTGGGAGGTTCACATGCTCTTATTTAGTCCTCACCATGACCGTGTACAAGAGCTTTTATTATTCCTCATACGCAGAGAGTTTGGGCCCTGGCCCAAGCTTTCTTGATTGAAATGTTTTTCCCTTAAAGTTTATGAAATACTGCCGTATGCATTCTCATTCGGTCTGCACATCAACCTCCTTCAGTCCCCGGGGCAGGTCTTAAGATGAGGAGCCTGAGGCCCACTGGTCCCCAAGCCCAGCGGTGGCTTTGGATCTAGGCTGGCCCCAGCACTGCTGCCCTCATGCGGTTTCCACGTTGGTTTGGGCCAGCGACGGCACAGGACGCGTCTGCCTCCCGAGGTTGTGTAGCTGGGCAACACCACAAAGCCCAGGCCTCGGTTCCGGTTCTAGTGTCCCTGGCTGTGTTCTGCAAGAAGCCACAGTAAAACAGCTGCAGGGCTGGGGGAATGTTCAATGCGCAGAGGCCATTCGTTCTGGGAGTGGAATTTGATGGGGAGTTAATGGATGAAACCTGACTCCGCTAAGTTGTCCTCCTCTATCAGGAGCCCAGGGCATCCTGGCTCTTCAGTGGCTCATTTGATCCCTCCGCAAGTGACAGGAAAAGTCCCTTTTTGCTCGGAAGTGCCTTGCCCCTTTTGGATGCCTCCCTTCTCCAGGTTGGCACCCTTTTCCCCAGCAAACCCAGTGACACATCTTCTTAAAATATTTCCCGCTTCCTCCCACCTGGCATCAGCGCTGCCCCCTCACACACGCTGCTGTGCTGAGATGGTGGCGGTGTGTTCACAGTCCTCTAGCCAGACCTGCTGGCCGTGATTTCGATCCCAACAATGACTGCAGGCACCATGATTCCTTCATATTCAGCTCTGCCTGGCCCGAACAGGTGATGCAAAGCAGAGAGCTCTTGTCCATGAGGTGGGGAAAATGTGCCCGGCCTCCTGGAAACAGGAAATAAACAGTATGCCGGTCACGAGCAGAAACCCGGAGGGGGCAGAGGGGCCGCAGGGGGGGCATGGACGGGCGCTCTTTCCCCCTGGAGGGTCCCGTCTCAGGGCTGCAGAGCGCCTACGGGCAGTGCTCCAGTGAAACACTAAAGTCCTCTGACTAAAGAAGCTACTTCTTAATCCCCTGTCTGTGTTCTTTTGATATTCCCACGAAATAAGTATCTCCACCGTTGGATTGTTTTCATTTAAAATGACATTCTCCATCATTTTAGAAGGAAAGAGCTAGTGTTCAGAATCACAATCACTTTTTATTATTCATTACTCATCTGTTTGTAGATTATTGTTTATATCAACTTTTTCTAGAAATTATCCTTTTGCCCCTAGTCACTCTTATTTGTACATTCTCTGGACCTCAAAGAGCCCACAGGTGGCAGTTTTCCTCATAAACACCACTCTCTGTGCCCTGGACATGTCGTCAGTTCTGCTTGAGTAGATCGTCCATTGGGGTTTGTCCACTTCCTAGATTATCCTTGATTTCGCTTTCCCAGCCAGCCAGCTGGAGCCTGGGTCATTGACCCTAACGGCCAGCACCGGGAAAGGGACCGGAGGGGTGTGCACGCCCGCTGGCTGCGGACGTGAAGCCTCCCAGTCAAGGAGAAGAGGTTCAGGCGTGGGACGCCAGGTCCTGGGGTGCGGGCTCTGTACATCCATCCCTTCCTCGGCGGGCTTTCCTCAGGAGCGCGGGCCCCCGAGTGCTGTTAGCATCGCTGCTCCAGTAGCGACCGAGTCGTTGCCACCTGCTGCGGCTGCTTTTGCCGTCTCACCCCAGAGCACCCACCCTTCCGACCGCGGGGTCTCCAGGTCCTTTGGGAGAGCCACATCGTTTCCTCGAGAGGGGCTGCATCTTCGGGTTGAATGTGGGGGTCCAGCGAGGGTTCCCGGGAGGCTGGCCAGTCTTACACGGTCCCTCGGATCTCCGAGAGCCCGGGGTCTCTTGATTTGATTTGCCGGATAGATGTGCAGCATGGGACTTAACTGGTGGTTGTGTAAGCTTCAGACGGCCGTCAGCAAATCAGTCCTCACGAGGCTTAATGAAACCGGTGGTGACACCTCAGCGTGGTAGAGGAGAGCAGGCTTTCAGGAACGCGGGAGCATCCGAACGGCCTTTCTTGGTCCAGGCCCCTTCTTCTTCCTTCACGTCTCGCCTCTGTCCCGATCGCAGTCCTTAGAACGACACTTTGGCGTGGTTTCTGCAGCAGGAGCCTTTTCCACTTGCGCCCTTCTCTTAGCGCAGAGCTTTCCGCTTCCTGCCCTCACCCCGGCCCCCTCGCCCTCTCCTCCCTCACGCGTGCGTCTCCTTTCAGAGCCTGAGCTGGCTGGAGGAGAAGGAGAAGGAAGTCGTCAGCGCCTTGCGCTACTTTAAAACCATTGTGGACAAAATGGCTATCGATAAGAAGGTGCTGGAGATGCTCCCCGGGTCAGCCAGCAAGGTGCTGGAGGCCATCTTGCCGCTGGTGCAGAGCGACCCTCGGATTCAGCACAGGTGAGTTGCTCGGAAGTCCTTCGCTGTGTGCGAGCGGTGGCGGTCCTACCTGCTCAAGTTCCTGGGTTTGGGGACACTTGATTCAAGGTTCTAGGGACAGCGACAGGTGCGGGAAAGGAAAGCAGCCCCTCCGCAGCCCCCACGGTGTCAGCTGCTGCTCTCCCGAGGCCCAGCTCTTACTTGGGAGACCTCAGCACGGAGGAAGCTCGCTCCCGCCGCTGGGGACGTAGCCCCGGGATGAGTCTGTGGTTCCCCCCTGTGCACTAGCCACCTCAGGTGTGTCCTGGAGCCAGTAGTGCTGACAGCCTGTCGCTGCCAGGGTCGTTGCTTCCGGGAGTGTTAGCCAGCAGCCCTGCTGGGGACGTCGCTTTCTAGACATGCGAGCACCAGAAGAATTGACCAGGTGACATGTCCTTGGATCGAGGGTATTGTTTGTCTGTGGGGAGGTTTTCTAATTATTTCATAGCCTTTGGCTAACACCATTTAAGGGACTTTCCTCCTGAAATTCTTCCAAAGAATCAGTATTTTTGTTAATCTCCCCGAGGTGACCGAAACGCTCCCTCAAATACCCCTTTCAGATCCGTTGCGCCATCTCAGCCCTCCCGGCGCGGTCTGCGAGCTGAGGGCTGTGCCGGCCCCGCCCAGAGCCTCTCCTGCGGGTTGGGTCCCAGCAGGCAGGCTTTGCCACCCTCCCTTAGTTCCCGGGACTGTGACGGACTGGCCTTGGAACGAGCAGCCGGCCATTAGTGAGGGGCCCCTGCACGGCGGAGCGCCCCCAGGCGGTCGAGAGCAGGGTCCGCGCTTGCCTGGATGCAGACCCTTTGCCGGCGTGGTTTACCGGTTTGCCGGGTAGTGCTTCGCTGGGGGGGCCCAGGGCACAGCGGCAGAAGGGGCACTCTCCATTTAAAGAGGCCTCACCTGGCCTGCAGAGTCGTAGAAGTGCCTCCCCCTCAGGATGGTGTCACCTGTGGTCTAGGCCCCAGGAAAGACTGAAGTTTGCTTTTCCCTCTCCGTCCCCTTTCCCGGGAGGGCGGTCCTTCGCCGGGACTTGCCGCACCGTGCTGTCTTCCGCAGCAGCCAGATTGGGCCCCTCTGCTCCCTTCGTGAACTTTTATTATTTCCAACGGGGCTGCAGGAGTCTGCGCTCCTCGGTCTCCTCTTCTGTTCCCCTGGAACATGCAGAGTGGAGGGACAGCTGGGTGGAGTTTCACATCCCCCGAGGAGTGGGTCCCCCGTGGGTCCCAGCGTCGTAAGAGCGACGCCTTAGGGCACTGTTCCGTTCTGGCGTTTGCTTTAAATGGCTTTGTATTTGGAACCTGTTTTAACCACATCTTATGATATTATATATATTTTCCTCAAGTTATATCTTTGGCACAAAAATGTCTGCCTTTTTTTTTTTTAAATTTTTTTGAGTTGAAGAGGGCAGCCAACACATTTTCTATATTTTTGCTCTTTCCTCATAATACGTAATGTTTAAAGTGGAAAATAATCCTTTTCATAATTCTTACAGAAAATTGTCTTTAGTTATTTAAAAGTATGTGGAAGATATAAAAATCCTTCATTTTGGCCTCCACTCCACAAGCACTGAGGCACCAGAAGTACCCGGGCCTCTGCTCTGTGTGTGTGGGCCTCACGGTGTAGCTGTCCCCACCCCAGGTCTCTGCACCTCGGGTTTGCCATTCCTGAAACTCCCTTCCTTAGCACGGCCCTCTGGCTGCTGAGTCCTGCTGGAGGAATTCTGGACATCGCAGGTCTGTCTGAGCTCGTGTTTAAGGGCTGGTCCTATAAAGGGTCCCACCTGCTCAAGTTCCGCAGTCCTGCTGGCTCCTTGTAACACGTCGGACATGAATTTTAGTCTAATTCCAAACAAGAAGTATGTGACAAGTGTGGCCTAGTCCAGTGATTAGCAGCTGGCGGAGGGGAAGGTGCGCGCTCCTTGAGAGACATTATCCGAGTCTTGTGGAGGTTATAAAGTTGAAAAGCATATTAACTATCATGATAATTTTTGTTATTTGGGTAGAACATATATATATAT